AGGGACCGGTACTGTGACCCCATCTGCCAGTCGCAACCCCAGAGCAGGGAGCTGAACCCAGCCAGCCCTGCAGGACAGGAGCTGCCATTGCAGGTGAGTGTGGGGCAGGCTCTGCAAACACCCCCCAGGATCGCCCACCCCCCAGGGCAGGACCCGGCCCCCTCCCAGAACCTCCCACACCTCCCACACAAAGCTTGGACACGTTGTGACAGGATGCAATGCCCAGAGTGGGGAGCCGAACTGAGCCAGTCCCACAGGACAGGAACCATCGTGGACCGTTGACAATTTAGGGACGTACAGGGTCATGCCAGGCCATCGAGGTTTACAAATGGGGTGTGACCTCCTGAAAGGGTAAGAACTGCTGCTCTACAAGGGAGTTCCCTGGAATGTTTGCTGGCTGGGTGAAAGAGAAGCTGGATTAGTAAGGGGTAAGGACTGGAGATGAAAAGAATGAGACGAGACTTGGCCTATTAGCAGAGAATTATTTGTGCAATAAAATGCTGAAGCTGTCTATCTGCCATGGCTCTTGGTTACTGTGAAAGAATGACGTCCAATGAAAGGGGACAATGATCTGACCCTTGTAGCACTGAAAATTTGTGAGAGGTACTAAGTAGAGGGTGGAATGATCTATAGTACATATGGATCCTCACATGGTGTAAATTGGCATAGCCCCACTGTCTATGCTTGGTTTGTTTCCTCCTCACTGTTACTTGATGGTTGCATTTAAAAAATACGGCTTGTCTCAGAACCTAAGCTAGGGTATCTTCTTATGTAGAGTTGATGGAAAGATTTTCTGTTTGGTTTCTCATTGTGAGATATCTATTAATATCTATTCAGGTACCAGTCCCAGTGTGTATTCAGTGAAATCTGTTCTTAATAGAAATCCACAGGACTAGCAAAAATTGTTTGCCTAGCGAACTAAAGGTTAAATATACCTGCACTGGAAACTTTACAGACAAGGGGTTTTCTGTTTGGGGTTATCCCTCATGTCAGTCTCACCATAATCACACTGGGCATGAATTTCATATGTACCCCGTGGGCTGGGTGCTGCTGAAAAGAGGAGGTGCACTGGAGATGTTTGCCCCACCCCAGTCCTAGGGCTGGTTCTGCACCAGCCCAGACTCTGGCGTACGTAGAGCAGCCTTGGGGCTGAGGTAAAGTATGCTGGCTCCCAAGGACATTCCAGCCGTCAGAGATGGCTGGCGCACGCTCTCTCTTCTCCAGGAACCTCCCCCTGCCATGACCAACAGCCAGCAGTTTCCCCTCTCCAGGGCCAGAACTACTAGGTTTAAGTCCAAGCACAAAGCCGAACTAGTGGAGCCCAGGCTCTGACCCAACGACATCTCACTTCTGGCCAAGTGCAAGAAGCATATAGGGAAAAGCTTTTCAAAGGTGTAAAGGGCAGTTTGGCACCCAACTCCCACTGAAAGCCAGTGAGAGTTGGGCACCAAATTCCTATTCATGCCTTTGAAATTTTCTTCCATTGACTTCATTCCCCCAAAGGTGAGTAAAGCGAGCTGGCTAAGGAGGGCGGGCAGAAAGGGTTACTGGAGCACGTGGGGGTGAGATCAGTGAAAGGTGAGCAGGCTTTCCCCAAATCCTCCATTGTTCTAACAGCCCAGAGCCTCAGAAATAAATGTCCGGGGACTGACTCTGATACCTCCACATCCACTGATGATCAGGGGGCTAGGACAATTTGGATTGTGGGAGTGCTGAAAGCCATTGAACCAAACTGTAACCCCTGGATATGATGGAAACCACGTGAAGCCATGGCGTGCGGCAGCCCCCCAGCACCTATGCTGGTGATCTAAGAATGAGAAGACCTGGCTTGGCTTTGCTCTCTAAATTGCCTTTCCGATTCATCCTGTGATCAAACAACTTTGCATTTTTCAATTACAGAATTACCATGTAACTATCCAGTCTCCTCTTTACCCATCTAGTCCTGGCCTAAAGTACAGCCTCAGTGAACAGGAATTAAACTTCGGTAGGACGTCACATACCTGGTACGTGTTAGCCTTGTTTTTATAACTGAAACGCTTGTTCCCTGGCCCCTAAAAGTGCAGCTGAAACTCCTTCAACAAAGTGGGGGGGTTTCAAAAGCACCAAACAGTACATCTACACAGCAAAAAAACCTCATGGCAGCGAGTCTCAGAGCCCGGGTCGCCTGCCTCAGCCTTGCAGGGCTCACGCCATGGGACTAGAAATAGCAGTGTAGCTGTTCCTGCCCGGGCTGGAGCCCGGACTCTGAAAGGCGGGGAGAGGTGAGGGTCTCACAGCTGGGCTCCAGCCCGAACGGGAACAGCTACACTCTGTTTCTAGTGCTCCGTGAGCTTGAGCCAGCTGATGCAGGTTCGGAGCCTTGCTGGTGTGGGATATTGTTTTGCAGTGTAGACACACTGTCAGTGTCTTAGGCACAGAAGTCCCATTGGCCTGACTCTCGGTCGTGCTCAGAATCCTAAATCACGCAGGTGCTTTTGAACCGCAACCCTGCCCCCCAGTGTTCATGTGGGAGTCAGGTGCATGTAGCTTGTTTCCGCTCTAAAACGTACCTCACCCAGGGAAATCTGAGCATTCAAACTGGAGCGTAGGCGAGGGCGTCTGAGGTGTGCATCGTGTGGTCACTGTCAAGATTTTGGTAAAGAAAACGTGACCCAATTTTCACAGCTCTGGAAGCTGCTGTCCTGGGAAAGACGTTTCAGTGACCTCAAGTGTCAACCCCTGACCTGCCCCCTCTGCTGCTTCCCTGGGCCAGAGCTGACGACCAGGCCGGTGCCGCAGAACCGTAGCTGTATGAAAATGCCCAGGCTTCAGTACCACCTCGGGAGTCGGGACGCTAACGTGTCACAGCGAGTGCAATCTGCCGTGCGAGCAACTGAATGGGCTGCGGCGTTTGGAGCTCATGGAACAATATCCAGGTTCTGACTTATGTGCTGGCTTTTGGCGAGCTGATCCGCTCTGCTAAGCTAGCTGAGGTTTGTAGGCATGTCAATCAAACCAGGCCTCGCAGTGCAGGTCTGAGACAGGAGGGGAGCATTCGGTAAGCCCCAGCTCCCACGTTGTCCAGCAGTGTGTGGTAGAGAAGGAAAGGGTTTTGTTTTGTGCACGTGTTTAAGGTTAGTGTGCTCAACCTGTAGCTAAACCAGGGTGGCTGGTAAGCGTGAGGACCTTGTCGGGAATCCATGAACAAAAGAGAGAGACCAGCATTACACACAGGGCTGATCACTGCCCGCGCTGCAAGGCTGCATTCCCCCCAGGTAGTGCATTTGGAGCACACCTTTGCTCCCTGCATGCAGCCTACACACTGCTGGTCCCTGAATGTCAGCAGGGGGAGGAGGCCTGGGGGGTGCACCACACTGCTCTTTGACCTTAGGATGAATGTTTATTAACCTGCTGTTTGCCCACTGCTGGCTCATGTCCGCAACAGATGCAGCAGATGCGGGCGCCCTGGTAACCAGCCCCCTGCTAGGTTCCTCTCGAGTGTATTTCACACACAAGCTGCTGGGCAGCACCGGTACTGAAAAGCCAGCCTTGGCGTGTGCTGGGTGTCACAGTCAGGTGGGGGAGGGGAAAACGGAACGTTCTGAAACGAGGTTGTCAGGGCACAGGGAGCAAAACCAATTTGCGTTGTCTGTGGCTTTACAGCAGCACTCAGAATAACAAATCTTTTCTTCCATCCAAGCTTGAATGCTGGCGGAGACTCTGTAGAAACTGAATTGATTAGCAGGGTGCTGGCACATAAAAGATAGCTGTCTGCACAGTAACTGAGCTGGCAGTGGGCAAACGCAGGAGCCTAAATCCCCGGACAAAACAAATCCCAGCCCATCTCACCCCTCTCTCCCCTTTATATTGGCACAGCAACGGTGCCAGGCTTGTGTTAGTAGACAGCCAATCTGCAACCCTAGTTATTGTAACCCCCACAACAAGCGCTGTGAGATCAACTGGAACTCAGCAAACCCACATCACCGGCCTTCTAGTATTATTGCCAAAATGACCAGCAACTCGACTGAGCGACCTTCGCTGTGTGACAGGCGACGGGCTGGACTCAGATTTTTAGAACTGGACATTACAATGTCTGTAGCTGTCCATGAAAATGAACACTACGCCCTGGAACCGCTTATCTGCACACACACTTACCGCAGCTGCCGGTGCAATCACAGCACCTGCAACTAACTTATCTCGTTGAATGTTTGACATGCAGAATTGTTCAGAGCATTTCTAAATGCTGGGGCCTTGGTTTGGTGCCCTGGCCAATGGTCCAAACACCACTTACTCACCTCACTGTCGTCGCATCCTTTGGCCCTGCAAACCATTCAGAACATGTACTTTAGAGCTGCATGAGGCAGCGTTCCATTTCTCTTTGCAGTATGTTGAAACACACGCTGTATAGAAAATATACAGTGCGGGGCCCTTTCCCTTTGCCACAGCTCTGTTATTACCTGCTCGTCTCTCCTGGGATTCTGTCCTGGGCCTTTGTGCACCACTCATGTTCCTCCTCCTATCCTGTGCACTCGGACAGCAGCCCAGGGCCCGCTCTTTATGGGTGTTGCACTTTTTTCATCTTTGCTGTTACATCTTGCACTTTTTCTCAGGTATATGGGTGGGACTTCAGACTGGAGGCCTGGGAACATACTGTGAGTAAAAATACATGAATGAGCTTCACACAGGGCGTGGATTAGAGCTGGGCTGGGTGAATGATTCCTTACAAATAACATATTGGGAAAATACATTACAGATCTAGTGTGGGCAGCAGCCATCTTTGTTCTGTTTTTATACAAGGGGAGCCTGGCCCCTAGGTGCTTCTCCAAATAAAAATAACGTAAGTTTAGGCACAAGTATGAAATCCCAGGCCTTGGCCTTAAACTGCTATCATGAGCAAGCAGCGCAAGAGAGAGCTTTAAAAGTTGATTAAGGACAGAGAGAGAGAAGAAAACATTGCCATTAAAATATTTGGAAACAGAGAAAGAAATTAACATTTGTTCTGGAAAAAAAATCCTTTTTATTATTGCTTACATAAAGGTTTCAGAGTAGCAGCCATGTTAGTCTGTATTCGCAAAAGGAGGACTTGTGGCACCTTAGAGACTAACCAATTTATTTGAGCATAAATAAATGGGCTACATGGGCTTCAGCTCACTTCATTGGATGCATTCAGTGGAAAATACAGGGGGGAGATTTATATACATAGAGAACATGAAACAATGGGTGTTACCATACACACTGTAACAAGAGAGTGATCACTTAAGGTGAGCCATTACCAGCAGGAGAGCAGGGTGGGGTGGGAACCTTTTGTAGTGATAATCAAGGTGGGCCATTTCCAGCAGTTACATAAAGTTTGTAAGTTAAAGATGTCAGTAAAATGCCCTGGCAACTCACCCTGTTCCTTTGGGTGGAAAGAAAGATCAACTCAAACATTCTAGCTTGGGCCTGATTCTCCAGCTGTCAACTGGAAGCAGATCCACAGGAGGTCCCGGTGTTACAGCACTACAAGACTGGAGTAAGGAAGAGCAGAGCCAGGCCCATTTCCTCAGCAGCTGGGATTAATTCTGGCTAATTCATGTAGAAGACAAGAGAGAGGATAGAAAACAAATCAAAGTTTCTTGGTGTGGTGAATTATTCTTTTCCCAGCCTGCTGCTCCTGGACACATGGGCTCATTTTTTGCTGGCATGTTTGACATTCAGCCACCAGTTCTTTCACCCCAGCTGCGTGACATTCAGCCTGTCATGGTACAAAGCACTTGAGTCAATTGTGACTGCCAGGACTGGAAACAAAGAGACAAAGCTACATGCTGGAGAGTGCCTAGGACAGGCTAAGACCGTATGTTAGGGAATATTAGACTGGGGTGGGGGGATAACACAAGGTATCGCAGGCACTTGAAGCCTGCGTTGTCTTTGTGGTTAAGGTATGATGTCCTCTCTGGTTTCCCCAAGGGTGTCGCTGTAGCCTCAATGTGCTTGCCAAAGCCACACCTCCAGATCCAAACACCAAAAGGTGCCCGTGGGGCACTAGACATGTCCACCAAGGGCGTGGTCACATGAAATGTCCAATCAAATCAGTTCCTCGGTGCCTGCAAATGTGAACAACCTTCGTATTGCCCAGACCATTCCTCGGTGTTACCATGGCAATTTGTGACCTCATTAAAGTCCTTGGAGGCCTTCTAACATTTTCAGTCAAATTAACATAGTTTTCCCGATTCCCTTCGTGCCTGCTTATGGGAGCTAGGTCACACCCTGGGCCGGGGGCCAGGGGTTCCCTTTCCACCTCCTCAGCTTAGCCATGTTTTCAAGCAGCAGGTGCATTAGTTCAGGGCCTGGTCCAAAAGCCCATTGAAGTCAACGGGAGCCTTTCCACGGCTTCCAGTGGACTCCGATCAGGCCCTTGCAGTGTTTACACCTGTGCGGATGGGGAAACTGTCACAAAAGCATGATGTCAGATATAACTCTACAGAAGTGAATAATTGTCCTCTGTGCGGCTCCCCGCCAGGCTTGCAGATCGGCTGGCAGCCGATATAAAGTGCACGGCATTTGTGGACATACGTGGCCTCGCTGTCTTTCAAAGGCCTCAGCCCAACACCTAACTTTGCACAGGTGCAGTGCTGCAAAGGCCCCTCTTCTATCCCCCTTGCCCCCGATCAGCTGCCACTCCACTCAGGGAACTGAAATTTCTGCCTGGCGTAGGTTTTACTTACCATGGTATCTAGGGAAGCTGGGCAGAGTTTGGTGCCATAGCTCCTGTGTAGGGGAGTGGGATGATACACATTGGCAGAGCCCTGTCCTTCCTGCCGGCCAGAAAGGGAAGGGGTAACACCCTACAGCTTCCCCTTCCCCTTCCCCTTCCCCTGCACACAGCTCTCGCCTGGCTGCTTCTGTGATTTTCTTCCACTCCGGAAGTACACAAGGGCCAAAAGGAAGGAATTGCAGGAAACTAAATTAGCCCAATGGAAATAAGCAGAGGGGTCTCCCTTTCTCCCCCTCCCCCACCTGTTCCTGTGCTCAACTGGTACTAAACCATTGGGGTGGCCTGGAATATCACCTGGGGGTTGTGATGGGCAGCAAAGGAGCAAAGACAACAGGGAATGGGGTTGGAGGTTTTTGGATCAAGAATGCTTTGGCGTTCAGAGGGTTGGTCTCACATTACCCCAGCCTGGGAGGATCCCAGTGTACACAGATTAGGAGATTCCTATTCAAGCTGAGAGCTCAGGGTGGGAAACTGTTTACATTACTCCAGCCAGGCCACAAAGCCCCCTACAATGTAGCCACAGGCGGTAGTTAGTGGTTAACAGATTACTGGGCCATTAATCAGTGAGACTCCCTACGCTGAGGGAGAGCTCCCCCAGCTCTGCTCTCGGGGGGAGGGCGGCCCTGAGGGGCGATGGAGGGGGCCGGCCTCCTTCAAATCCAAATCCAAATCCAACTGCCCCAGCTCGCAAAGGACGGGCGGGCTCTGCAGCCGGACTGCGCGCTCTCCTTGCCCCCGAAGGAGAAGCTGCGCATCTCGCCGCAGGGCTGGCGCCTGCCCGCTCCCGTCTCTGCTCCCGGGCGGGGGACGCAGCCTTCCCTGTACTTTCCACGCGAGTGTGTAGGCGAGGAGAAGCTAAAAATACCGCCGGCTCTGCCGTTAAGGTGCCGCCGCCGCACGCCGCCGCTGCGCCTCGGACGCGGCTGGCCGCACACTCGCGCTTCTCTCCGAGGGGCCGGGAAGGGCTCGCCCGGCGCGGGGCCGCTGGGGTCCGGCGAAGCCCGGCAGCGTGTCCCGCGGGGCGCTAATTGCGCGCCCGCGGCCAGGAGCCGGGGGCTCTGCGCGCGGCGCTGAAATTCGCGGTGCGCGCAGGACGCGCTGAGCCCGGGGCAGGGCGCGATGCAGCGGGGGCCGCCCCGGCGGGCGGCGGGCACCCGCCTGCCCTGACCCCCCCCCGCACTGGCCGCGCCCGCCCTGCCATGGAGACGCGGCCGCCTGCGCGCCCGGCAGGTCCCCCCTGCCCGTAGCGGGCCGTGCGCGGCGCGGTCCATGCTGCCGCTCTTGGCTCGGCTCGGCTCGGCTCGCATCACATGACTCCCCCGCTGGCAGGATCCGGGGCTCCCGCATCCAGCCGCGCTGCCAGCCCAGCGGGGACGCGTCGGGCTCGGGCTCCGTCCCCCGCGCGCCGGCCGGGGCCGGGCGCCGGGCGCCGCTCGCCGGGGGCCGGCTGAGCACCATGCAGAAGGGGATGCGGCTGAACGACGGGCACGTCGCCTACCTGGGGCTGCTGGCGAAGCGGGACGGCAGCCGCCGCGGCTACCTGAGCAAGCGCAGCGGCGACAACACGAAATGGCAGAGCAAGTGGTTCGCGCTGCTGCAGAACATGCTCTTCTGCTTCGAGAGCGACTCCAGCTCGCGGCCCTCCGGCCTCTACCTGCTGGAGGGCAGCGCCTGCGACCGGGCGCCCTCCCCCAAGCCCGGGCTCTCGGCCAAGGACTCGCTGGAGAAGCAGGTCGGTGCCGCGCGGGCTCGGCGGGCGGCGCGGGGCCCCGCAGCCACCCCAGGGCGCGGGGCTGCGGCTGGCCCGGGCCCGGCCCCGCACAGGGCGAGCGGGCAGGGACCGCTCCTGGGCACCCCGGCAGCGCGCTAGGGACCGCCCGGGGCGGGGATCGCAAGGGCCAGGCTGCCAGGGAGCCCTGGGGTAGAGTGTGTAATACGGTGTGCGCGTGCAAAACAGTGCGTGCGTGTGCAATGCCGTGTGCAAGGCAGGGCGCGCGTGCTCCATCGCGTGCAATACGGCGTGCAATGACATGCATGCAACATAGCGTGTGTGTGCAAGATAGGGCGTGCAACACAGTGTGGCTAGGTGTGCAGTCTGGCGTGTAGGTGTGGGCAGTACAGGCGGTGTGCACGCACGGTCGGTAAAGCCCCGGGCGGGCACGGTGCTGCCGGGGATGCTGGCGCGGCCAGGTAGCGCGGGAGCTGCAGTGGCGGGGGCCGGGCCAGGAGCGGGCTGTGCCCAGCACCGGGTGTCCGTCGTGCCCGCAGAGCCGGCGGGTTCGCGGGCGCTGCGGTGCGAGCTCTGGCTCCCGGCTGGTCATTAGCAGGCTGGAGCCCGCTGCGAAATGCACCAAACGGCAGGCGGCTCTTGGAGGCGCTACGGAGCCGCAGTGGCTAGCTAATTAATTAGCGTTCAGCTGGGGACTATCAGGAGAACATTTCCCCTACATTATGGGTAATCAGCCGGATTTAATTAGGCGGGTCCTTGCAACGCAACGGCGCCCTCCGATGGGCGCCGAGGGGAAGCGGCTCTTCCGCAGCCCCCTCTGCCCCCAACGCAAAATCCGCGCCGGAGCCGCGTTTCCGCGGGGGGAGGCTGGGTGGGCGCAGCTGGCCTCTGTCCCTGCCCGGCCTCGGGGCCTCGCTGTGCAGCGCAGGGTGCTGCTGGGATGGCACCAGACGAGTATCATCATGTGCTTCCCTTGGAGCCTAGGGACAAACCAAGACTGGGCTCCCTTGTGCCCGGCGGGGCACAAACCCAGAGGTGCCATGGGCCCTGGGGTGGGCGAACAAGGGCATGGCAGCAAATATGTGATTTCCGAGGGGGGGGGTGTTTCAAAAACCACTGGCGGTGTTAGGAAAATACCTAGGCACGTGGGGCTGGAGAAGCCCTGCGGGGCCAAGGAATCCGTGCCAGGAACTGGTGCAGGAGCGCGCCTTCCCACTTATTTCCCAGCGCTGCCCTTTGCATTAGTTCAGGGCCTGGTCCAAAAGCCCGTTGAAGTCAACGGGAGCCTTTCCACGGCTTCCAGTGGACTCCGATCAGGCCCTTGCAGTGTTTACACCTGGCGGATGGGGAAACTGTCACAAAAGCATGATGTCAGATATAACTCTACAAAAGTGAATAATTGTCCTCTGTGCGGCTCCCCGCCAGGCTTGCAGATTGGCTGGCAGCCGATATAAAGTGCATGGCATTTGTGGACATACGTGGCCTCGCTGTTTTTCAAAGGCCTCAGCCCAACATTTGACTTTGCTCAGGCTATGTTGTGCTCTGGCTGTGGGCACGCACGGCAGTGTTGACATCTGCCTTCCGGAGCTACGCACACAGGAAGATAAGTAGATGTCTCCATGCTGTCAGTTGCGGCCATAATTAATCTTGGGTGCCCAGCTGCAGGTGCAAATATGTGGTGCAGAATCACATCTGACACACCAGAGGCCAGTGGGAAGCCCCTGGAAGATTAAGGGCCATTATGTTTGTCACCAGAGCTTTGTCTCGGTTCTACACGTCAGAAGACTCGCTACGTGTTTTTTCCAACCAAAGGTCCTATGCTAGGTTCCCGCCATCTTGGAGGCACTTAGGGTCGAGACTCTCATGTAAGATAACATTTCATCAAGCGTTACGTGTTTCCAGTGTGCCCATTAGGATATCATCTGCCTGAATTGTGGTATGTCACCCATAAGGGAGACATTAATGCAAATTCTACAGCTACAGGAGAAAAAAAGTGTTTTCAAATCCGTGAATGCCAATCCACATCCCAAATTTGACAAATGTATCCCAAGCCAGCTCTGTTCTATGGTGTAGGCAGTAACTGCTTTATTATAATGGCATTCACCACTCAGATTATATCCTTTCAGTGACACTGCACATGAAGGTCAACACCTGAGGTCGAGAACATACAATCGAGCATCTCAGAAGCGTCAATAAGGATTCATTTCTCGTCATTTGATGTCAAGTCTGTTTATTGACAAGAATCCCAATACATTGTGGGTCTAGTCCTGAAGTTCTTACATAATTCTTCCTCGGGCAGAACTCTCACTTACAGCAGTGAGAGCGGCTTGACTCAGAAGTGCAGGATTGGGTCCCCCAGGGGAAGATTTAAAAGGTGACATATTCTGGTGGATCAATCCGTGCCTAACTGTCTCCAGATGAAGATGGAATGCTCAGCACCCAGGAAATAGCAACGTTACATTAGTAAGTCTATGCTGTAGCCCTCGCACACCCTGGCAGATTTTGCTGAAGGAAACCTTTCCAGCGTGGGTTAGGGTACAAATGGATATGTCCTCATTTGCAGTCACTGGCCTTCTTTCAGTTTGCAAGGCTGAGCAAAAGGGAAAGTTCTATTCTCAAATATTTATAAAGGTAGGAGCCTGGCTTCCTTGTATCTAGCCTGCATGGAGTGTGATCAGCTCTCAAGGGGACTTTCACACTGCCGTACCAATTACAACAGCCCACCTCCCTTTAGAACGATAGTCCTGCTCACATCGAGTTGCTCTTACACAGTGCTGGCTAGCTGCATTATCACTGTTTGTATTTGTTGTAAGGAGCTTCAGATCCGTTAAGCCCTAACATAAGAATGTCAAAATCCCTTCAGATTTCAAATTGCTCCTAGAAAAATGATCCTAAAGGTAAAAGGCAGATTGTTATCACATGCTGTAGTAAGCGCCTGCCGAACCCGTATCCAGCGTAAATACTTCGGAGTCAGTGAAACTATGTTGATTTACAGTGGTTTTGGATCTGGCCCATACTGTCATATAATTTGTTAGGGCAAACAATTATATAAAACTACTCAAGCAGTTGAAGGCCTACTGCTTTGTAAATGAATTAATCAGCGCTTTAGATGAGGTAAATGGCAGCACAGTTGTGTTCTGGATCTGCAATATGTTCTGTCAGAGGCAGTGGAAGAAGAAAATGGCTAGCAAGATTTGAGGTTTGCAGCTCCTAAAAAGAAAGGTAGCTGAAGTCTGTAAAATGAATGCAATATTTCCTTAATACACCCCTTGAACAGAACCATATTCCAGGGACACAGGCCTTTCCCTTCCATTCTAATAATAGATCATTGAAACTAATTTGAAAGGAAAAGTGCTGAAGACTTTTCCAGCACTAGATATGGTTGTTTTTTATTTGTTGCCTATGGATACTTATCTATCTAGACAGCTATCATTAGAGCCGTGTGGAAGATGGAAGTTCTGTTTCACAAAGGGTTTTGAGATTTCACAACATGGCTCCATTCTGAATCATTGTGAAATTGTTTTGGGCCATTCAAAACATTTTTTGTTTTGACAAAATTATATCATTTGTGTTTTGACTTTTTGTATTATACCTTATAATAATATCGAATATAATACAACATAAATGACAAAAGGAAAAGCCATTTCAAAATGAAAAATCAAAATGTTTCATTCCCAAAATGTTAAAATGTCCTGTGATTAATTTCCCCCCAATTTTTCCCTAAACAAGTTCCAGTGAAATTGATTTGATCTGTGTTTTGATTTCAGCTGAACCATGTATTCCAGCAGACTATGGTCCCATCAAAGTTTCTCTGCCCAGCTCTAGCTATCCCACTCATCCCCAGAGTCTCTGAGCACCTGGTCTGTTCTAAAGAGATTACTCAGAGGGATCTTTTCTCTCTCCATCCATGCCCCGTTCCTGGGTTACTGTGTGTTCTGAACTGATGATTATTGTTGTAGGGAGCCAGTTTGGAAGAAACCAGCCTGGTCTTTCAGTCTGATGGCAGTGAGCTGTGGTCATTCTCATCAGCTCCGGACTGAGCCAGCTGTCTGGAAAGCTGCATCTCCAGGGGCAGCCCTTTCATCCTAGGATTCAGCATTGTAGAATCAGTAGATTCAGTTCCTTCAAGTAATCTCACTTGATGTTATGCTCGTGATTACTGAGTTCTATAGGAGAGACCACATGGGCTAAACAGATGGGGGTATGTAGGGTCGCTGTAGGGCTATTTATGGTTTATGGTCTGAGTTCATCAGTGCGCTAAAGGAGCAGTTGAAGGGATGAGTTCCGCTTTCAAGGCACTCTCTTGGTTGTCTATGCATCACTGTGTGTGAGCAGGGCAACAGAAAGGAACCTGAGCCTTGTCCTTTGTGCAGCGCTGGCCTGTCTGCACTGGCCCTGGTCCAACACGGATTGCGGGCTGTGCACCTCTCAATTGCACAATTTGTTTGTAGCCAGCAGTTGTCTCCGCATCTGTTACCTGAGCGCGTGTGGCATGGAGTCAAGGGGTGGTGCTGGGCCAAACCCTTGACTCGACGTTCAGATCCAAGGATTCATGGACGTGCACTGTCTAGCTGGAGCCATTTTC